ATATTTCCATAAGTTATATTTTCTTGTAAATTATTGTTACCACTATTAATCGTTACTTCCTGTCTTGTAGTCTGGCATTTCAGTAAATATCTTTCAATTTTGCCTTTATAAGCCACTACTCGATCTTGATACTCTTGACTTTGTATAATTTCACTCTCTAATTCATCGCTTTTATCAAAATAATTTTCAATTTTCAAATCAAGATCCTTTAAAGTTCCGTTTTTTTCAACTAACTGATTTAGTGAATCATACAAGGTCTCATCAGGAAGTATTTCTAATAACAATTTGTCAATTTTATTTATTAATTTTGTAATCAGCTGTCTGATTACAACCCGTTTGGACTTTAATTTTTCAAAATCATCCATTATAAACAGCTCGCACGTTACTATAATAAATACAATACAATTAATACAATAAAATATCAAAATAAATTACCGACTTAAGGGAGACCAAAACAAAACAAATGTTAACTCATATTTCATGCAGGTGGCCTATTTTTCGGCCGGTGTAGCACCATAACTCGAATTCAACAATAATTACACAAATTGAAATGATTCAAATTATTTTATTCCACTGTGGTTCAGTAGGTTAAATCTAAACTGAAACTTAAGAAGTGCAGAAAAAAAATAATAAAAAAAATTGTTTGTGCTCAGCTCCATCTGGTATTATAAATCCTCAACAAGTATAGACGTCTTAAAGATATCTATGATAGACGTAATATGGCTAATAAACACAATTATGTTAACAAATACAAACGATTATGTCGGAGCTATAACAAAAAAATACGCTTTATATTTCATTTAATGCAGAAGAATCTAATGAAGATCAGCTTATTTGAAACTCTGAAATGTCACACCCATATGTAAATTGGTGAATGATAGATACGTGATACCAAAAAACAAAACAAAAACATAAGCACACAGCTGTTTGGCGATTTGCGAGAACGTTCGTTTAACGCCAGTTGAAAGTTTCGCCAACCCTTTTATAATCTACGGTATGTTTTGTCAATACGCTACCGGGGGAAACAATGAGCTAAGATGTAACTACTTAATAACCTAATAAGAGCCCTATGGTGTTTTTTTTTTTTTTTTTTTTTNTTTTTTTTTTTTTTTGAATATTGAGCTGGTTAGATTGATGTTTTTTTTCTTCCCTGGTGATTTAGTAATAGTAAAGCTAACTATTGAGCTAGTCTTCGAAAGATAACGCAACAAATAAGGAAAAAAAATTTAATTCTTTATATACAGTAGATACATCCATGTAATAAATTGAAGTTTTAAAACAACTTTGCTTTTAAATAAAAATAAAAAAAATAAAGAAAGAGAAAACTAACTTAAAAGTAAAATAATTGACAAGAACTTTATCATAAAAAGTTTAAATCTTAGAAATTTTAAAAATTTAGCATACTTATATATACATTTATAATTAGCAATAATTTAAAAGGAAAAGTTTGTTCCTTTGTCTCTTCTATAAGTCCTAAACCATTTTAGCTACCCTGAAATTCAGATCACGGCTGGCGTCGAAATTTTAAATATCAATCTTGAAAGTTGTTCAAAAATTTAAATTCGTTGAGAGATTTAAAGAATAAAATTTTCAGATTGGTTTATCATTAGGTACTGTTTTATTTTAAACTGAATAATCTGTTTTTCAAATATTCTAACTGCAACATGAGTGATGTTTGCTCACTTATAGATCTATTTAAGCAAAAAAGTACTTCATTGAACTTTTGTTTACTACCCATTCTCCATTCGTTAAGTCAGATAAGCTTAATGATAAGCATGTAGGTGGTAGAATATTTGAAGAAAGTCACTAAACTAATATTTCTGACGTTATCTGAAAACACGAAATTATTTTGTTTAATGTTATGCTTTTAAAATCTATTTTTACTATGGTAAATTTTGACTATCAGTCATTAGCAATATAACTTTCAAAAATGTATAAAACTAATAAATACTAATTATGTAAAGTTACCATTAAATACAACAAAAAAAATAGTAAATCAAATGAATTTAAAATTATTCTTTCAGTTTTATTAATTTGGTGAGTATCGGTATATGCCTTTCGGTTTTGTTAATGATTTTGTAGTGCTGATTAACACCAATTTATAGATTATTTAAAAAAAAATTTGTCTCGTAAGGATATTCCAGTAGTTACGCATTAAAAAGTTGAATTTTTAAATGCATTTTCAACATTAATTTTAATTGGCTTCGTTGCCAATTTAAAGTGTTATTTTGGCATGTTTTGAGTTTGGTTAATTTTTTCTAATTATAATAACTGGTATATAATAACATTATATAATACCATATAATAGTTATACACGAACTTTAATATAATACCCCACCATTTCATACCAAAATTACAATAAAAAATTACCTTCGCTTAAATTTTTACTGGAATAATTTTTAAATAGACATATTGTACTTTGAAGTTGGACTGTGTTCTCCTAATATTCAACAAGTATTGATTAATATTTTAAAGTGTAAATGATAATTTCTCTTATTTTTTTAGCTGTTTATCTTGTATAGAAAACATTAAACACTTAAATTCATTTATAGGTGCTGTCCGAAGTAAATTCCCTGACTTCACACAAGCATTAGTAGGAGATTATGTAAAAAAGTGGCTGAGATATGTTGGAGACGGAGAAGTTGATAGAGAGGAAAGAAGAAGAATTCTGAAGAATAATGCTGAATGAAATAAATTTTGCAATGCTATCATATTATTACTACTATTTAAAATACTATTGGTAAAGTAAATGCCTGAAAACATTTGTCATCAAAAGCTTTTATATATTGTTAAAAGAAATTTCCTCAAACATTTATTTGCTTATTTCCTTGTTAATTGATAATTATAAACACTAACATTAAATAAATATACCTGCAAAAAGATTTTAACCAGAAAATTACATTGAAAATAATGTGCATTTTCAATTAACTTGCAATCACCACTTAAAATAAAAATTGTTTAAGAAGAAACATAACCTAAAACAAAATTGTTTACTATAATTTTGATTTTTTAAAATTTATATTAATTATCAAACGAAAAAAAAATTGATAACTATATACTTTACAATAACACAAAAGAATTCTAATTCCTGGAGGATAATTTATAACTCTGATTTTGCATTTTTTTTTTAAATTGTTTTTAAATAGGATTAGGAAAGTTAATATCTCAACTTTTTATAAACATAGTCGATACAAATTTTTTTTTAATTAAATATAAAGTTAAAATTTAATCTACAATAAAGAATATATAAAAAAATATTCAACTCTGTTATATAATAATTTTGCTAGATGAATCAATCAAACCATGATTTACTATAACACAATGTTCTACTATAAAACACAAAAGGGTTAGTATGTTTATAAATATAAGAAAAGAAGGAGAGCTTATTTTCATTTCTACTAAAATTTGATACGAAGTTACATTTTAAAGAAATTTTTGTTGCTACATTCAATGCAGCCCTTTGCAAAACATTTTTTGTTAAAATGTTTCCTAATGTAAGTACTTCAGAAAAGAAATAAATATAACTACTTTAAAAAAAGTAAAAGTTTTAATTTAATGAAAATGCCCCTTCAAATATATTATCAGGCACTAAGGAAAAAATTAGCCATCAGAATAACATATCTTCAACAACGAGAATCCTAAAAAGTATTAACGCTGCGAAAAGTTAAAGAAGAAAATATAACCATTAATGGAAATTTATTGGCCACTTGTTGGCTCAATTTAAAATAATATCCTTTTTCTAAATGGGTCACTATCGGAAAGCTGAAAAAAGCCGATATTGGTCTATTATGGAAATTTATCGGCTACTTGTTGGCTCAATGTAAATTAATGTCCTTTTTAATGATGGGTCACTATCAGAAAGCTGAAAACAGCCGATATTGGTCCATTATAAATCAGCGTCATCTTAATATTGGGCCTCTGTCGAGGAAATTTTAATGCTTCTAGACAACTGAAAACAGCCAATACAATTCCGATATGCACTTGCCAAGAATGGCCCGATTAAAATGTGTCAAATGGCCGACATAATTGACAGTATCGGCTCCAGCTGCCGGCCGGACACTTTTTTGCCGCGGCCGATTCGGCCAACTATGTTGGGCCGATGGAAGTGCTATCGGTCACTGTATATGGGCCCGTCATCATGCCTTAAATGTTGTGTTTGCTGGGTTATTATTGTATCTATTATCGTAAATAATGCAAAAATAGCGCAATTTTGTTAAATAATTATCACTCCGTGGAATTAATCTTGCTTTGTAATCTTGACTATAATATTCATTTTTATATTTTGGATTTAAGTATTAAAAACGAAGAAGATTATCTATATTGTTGACTTATATGATAAAAGAAATAAAGAAATGATTTTAAATTTTATATAAATGAACTAATTACAAGGAATTCTAATGTTTCTAAAAACAGTTATTTAAATACCATTTTTAATCATGATTAAAATTCATTCTAAATAGTTATAAAGTAAAATATTATTACCTTGAGCACATCCCGTTTCTTGTCAATTCAATGTAACTAACGAATTAAACGCGTTTCAATACTTCAGTAAGAACGCGCCATAGAATGACCACACTATCCTCTATTTACGCTTCTATTTTCATATTCTCGTCTATTTATTTTTATTTATACAGATGCCGGTAAGTGTAATCACATTTGAATTTGCTGCTTGCTTTATATGTTACATTTTGGGAATTTTTTCTGAATTTTTCTCTTTTCTTTTCGGCTTGATATGCTTTATTTTACATTTTTTGCTTAATATGCTCTATTTTCGTTTTAATTTTTTTGGTGCTTCTCACACTATTTATTAATATATTTTGATTCGGTTACATTAATACATTATTAGAACGCTATTTTATTGCAGATATAATCATGTGAGCTATTGGCGAGATTATTTCTTTTCTTTATTCTTTTTGTTTGCCAGCTTTTATTTATTTTTTTTAAAATATTGACTTAATTATAAATAATAAATATTCACATTATTTAAAAATATTTTATGCACTAAAAATTAATTTTTAAATTATTGATTTTTTTCGTTTGAATCCCGTTTTTGCGAAATTCGAAATAGCGAAAATTTCAAAGTAACGAATATTTTCCGAATCCAGAAATGTATTTCCATGTGAACAATGTATAAAAAATACCGATATTACGAAATCAATTATACGATTTAGCGAAGGCGAAAATGAACACCAGGTCTTATTTTCCTTGATGAACAAGACATATTTCTTCAAAAATGTTCTCAGAAATGAAATGTTTTATCACCCTTAAAATACTAATAAGTTTGAAATGTGAAAAACTTGTCAAAAAAAGAAGAATCACTGGAAAGAGACTACTCTGAGTTGACCCTTGCATTGATTCATTCATGTTTTAAGAAGTCAAAATACACATGCTTTTAAAAGAGGGAATTCTATTCAATAGAAAGGGCTTGTCAAGAATGATAGATTAGAAGTGACCACCCTTAGCAGAACAATTCCTTCCTTGAATTACAATAGACTAAATAGGGGGGGGGAGAGCTGTTCTAAGAACTCAAGGTGTGAAAGGGGTGTAAACAAGTTTCAGAAAATTACCAGAGTGGTGGGCAACTTCAATAGTAGACCGTAGGCCGAATGCTCAATATCGTTAATAAAAAGATACTTCGTTCCGATCATGGAGGGGCAATGTTAAACCTTATTAAAACAATCATATTTCATCTATACAATATGAATTTACAAACTTCTAATCATATTTGTTGCACATTAGTATATATTTACTAAAATACTTTTGCACTCTTTTTTTATAACAACCTTTCTTCCGCGCGTTCTATGTACTGCGGCGAGCTGGAGTCTTATCCAATCAAATTACATAAATCTTTGTTTACATTTACGTAGGTCGGTGTCTGACAGATTTTTCTTTCCTTAATCTAATTTAGAGCTTTTTATTCTTTAAAGGGAGGGGAAATAATTGTTTGAAATAATAAAAATATATAAAAAATATTGCATTTATTTTGTCTGCTAAGTGTTATTTTGCCAGTAATGTTGTAAAATAAGAAGTATAATATAATTAAACCTCAGATTGAAGTCCTCATTGACCTGTGTTGTAAGAGAACACCAAATATGCTCTTATATTTTCTCTTATTTAACTGTTATAGGATTTTTATTTTAAAATTCTGTGACTTAGTACAGAGAATTTTTTTTCTTTTTTTGTTAAAAGAAACTTCGTTTAGATTACAATTTTTCGTAACTACAGATAAAAAACATGAAAAAATTGGTGGAAAAAAGATTTTTTTTCAATCATTTGGTTTTTAATTTATTAGAAAATGTTTTTAAGCAAATTTAAAATCTTGGTAATTTCATAAATTTTTTGTTAATTTTATAGTTTTTTTATTACCAGTTGATTTACTATAAATAATAAAATCTACTATAGATATTATAACATAAAAATCATTAAATTATATTGAATTCTGAATAGTATGAACATCTGTTAGATTTCTAGTTCTCTCAAAATCTTAAGAGCTTTTGATCATAGGTAAAATGTTCTGTTGAGGTGCCATGACTGACACTAGACTTTATTTTTTCCCCCAACTACTGACACAACAGTTTAAAAGCAACTATATATTAAGAAAGTATAACATTAATTTAAAATTTACAAATGTGTGTCTGTGTGCACATGCTCTTTTATAGATATTTAAATATATATACATGTTCTTTTTTTAATTAATTTAATTTTTTAAATTATGACACTACCAGTCACAATATGATTTTAATGAGATTTTTGAGAAGCCTCTTTATTAACAACAAAATAATTGCATTCGAATTAAAAGACCTACTACAAGAGCAACTTTTCGTTGCAAATTCTCTTTTACCTCAATTACTAATTTAAAAAAAATAAAAAGTCATTTTAGGCAAACCTAGAGTAAGCCATGAAGTTTAAATTTTTCTTTTTTTTAAATGCAAACAAATTATTGGAAGAGAACTTCTTCTTTGTATTAAGTTATCTTCTCATAATTTATTTTCATTTTGATAATTTAAAAATTTCTTTTCAGTATGTGAAACACTATATAGTTAATCTTCTCACTTTTTCTATACTTTAAATTCATTTATTCTTTATTAAAACAATTTTATTCACAAAAGGTATGGTGTCCTCTAAACAAATAATGAGCTGGAGTCATGTCAATAAGTAAAATTTATTGAATAAGGTCAAATTATTATATTTTCAAACCATGTCAGATTTGTATTTTCAAACCATGCTTAAGTTTGCATCTCAAAAATGCAACAAAAATTACATAAATGTGAATTTTACATAACAGTTTCTGAATAGTTAAAAAAAATTGAGATAAAATTCAAAATAATATTTACAACAAAATTTTTACGAAACTTTTATATATATACATTTCTTGGAATACTTTTCTCGAACTTGCATGTGCATAAAAGATTTGTATTTTCAAACCATGCTTAAGTTTGCATATCAAAAATGCAACAAAAATTATATAAGTGTGAATTTTACATGAAAGTTTGTGAATAGTTAAAAAAATTGAGATAATATTCAAAATAATATTTACAACTAAATTTTTACGAAACTTTTCTATATATACATTTCTCGAAGTTGCATGTGCATAAAAGACTTGTATTTTCAAACCATGCTTAAGTTTGCATCTCAAAAATGCAACAAAAACTATATAAATGTGAATTTTACACGACAGTTTCAGAATAGTTAAAAAAAATTTAGATAAAATTCAAAATAATATTTACAACTAAATTTTTACGAAA